AGCTAGAATCACTATGCTTGCCTTGTCTGGCCTATTGTGGCCTTTTCTTTTTGGAAAACTGGGGTTCTGAAAGGCTCTCTAGTCATCTCCCCTACAATATCATGGGGAAAGTAACTATGAGGTGCATGCTCCCACTGGAAACCTTTGTCTATTACATGTCCTTGAGTGAAGGGACAGAGGCCTAGGTCCTGCCCTCAGGTCCACAAGCAGCATCCCTGGAGCCCACCACACCCCCAAGTCTAGGAATAGCAGGAAAGGCCCCTTTGCTTCCTCTTGCCCAGTTAGGTCCTGGATCCTGACAGTAACAGCAGACAAGGGGTGCTTCTGAGAGTGAGCAAGGCCCATCCACACCAGCCATCCATTCCCTCTCCCCAGCATTTGAGAAGAGGGGATGTAGTTTGGCCATACCGGCCTCAGCGTCAGGCCTCTGGCTTCAGGTTGACTGAGGGGAGCAGAAAAGAGCCCTCTTTTCTTATTCAGAAACTAAGGTGCTAACTCTAGTGAGTGAGCTTTGGAGATGCCTGGACTAGTTGGAGGAATCTTTGGCAGAGGATCAGAGACCAGCAGCAGGCTGATTCCCTGTCTTGGCTCCCCCGACCTCCCAATCTCCTGTTGGACTTGTCTGGGCCCATAGGCTAGGGCTTGGCACACCGTGCCTACCTGGGATGGAAAGAGGTTGAGAAGCCATCAATCACTACAGGCCTTTTCCCCAGAAGAGCTGCTTGTTGGTGACCATGCAGGAGTTGAGCAACATAGATTCCCTTCTTCTGATGTTTGGAAATGAGCTGCTTGAGTCTACTGGAGTGGAGTGAAAAATGTAGCTCTGCTCCAGGCCTCCACTGCAGGCCCTGCCCCTCAATCTACATGCCCTTCACTCTCTCAGAACAAACTCCTTGTCCCCTTAGACCTGTGAATACCTGTGACCATCTGGGCCACACATACTGCCTCCATCCCTTCATCTTCCCTTCCCCTCCCCTCAGTGTATTGCTTACAGCCACATGTGTGAGGCCCACCGGCTTGGCAGTTGCTTTGGAGGGCCTTGGACTGGGAGTTCCCCTGCCCTCCAGATCAGGCTGGCAGGTGCAGGCTGTAAAGGCAGTGAGGTCAGCACCATCATCTCGCCTTTCTCACTTGAAGGGCCCTTTTCTCTTTCTGAACCCACTGTCTTGCCTGCCTCTGCTGACTCCACCAGTTCTCATCCCTTCCTTCCTTATCTGCCTGTTGGTGGAACCCTTAGGACTCAACTGGGGGCAGTCCCTGGATGGCTTTACCTGTGTGGGGCCTGTCTCTAAAGCCAGTGACAACTACCAGGCAGCCTCCAGCTGGCCCCCATCTTAGTGATTGGTTTCCTCTAGGGCCACCTCTCCTGCTGCTTCCTGTCAGAAGCCCAACAGGCAGTGTTAAGGGTGCGTGTGTACCCAGCACTGACCCAGGGTTTCCAGCTGTCGGTCTGCATGTACAGCTGCCTCTCCGCCACCTCTCTGAAGCTTCCTCTTGGGGCTATTGGAGCCTTCTTGACTCTTACCACCAGCCCCCCAGCTCACACCTTTTAAATGGTCTCTTCCCATTAGGCCCTTCTTGGATATGGACCTTACCTAACTAAAGGGCTGAACTCTGGAGGACATTCCTCCCAGGGGCAGGAGTCTGATGGACCAGTGGTCCATGGCTTCTGTTGAATGCAGACTACTTTGCTCTGTGTAAATGACTGTGGACCTTGTCCCACCCCTCATCCAAGCACCCTTGGCAAAAAGTCTGGTTCTCATCCATCCTGCCTTCAGCCCCTGCTCCTGCTGGTTCCTCCCCAAGGAGATGGGTGACCCCTGGGAAGATTCCGCTGACCCTCCCTGAGGAATGAAGAGTCCTGAGAGCCAGGGTGGCACTCTTTATCAGTTCCACATGGCAGCCTTGGCCCCTGCACCCCTCTCCAATGTCCTCACTCTTAGCCCAGGGTGAGTTGCCGTCAGGTGGGTGGGCTAAGCAGACCAGAAGTCATCGAGCTCCAAGACAGAGCCAGCCAGACCAAGTCCTGTCTTTGTCCATGCCCTTTGTGATTTCAGTCTTGGTAGAATTTGTATTTGGAGTTTTGTGCTTCAAACTTTCTGTTTTGTTTGTTTGGTTTTTGTTTTGAGGGGGTGGGGGGTACAGAGCAGCCGATCAATTTGTATTTATTTATTTTAACATTTTACTAAATAAAGCCAAATAAAGCCTCTCAGCCTCTTTGGTGTTGAGTTTGGGGCTAGGGTGGGAAAGTGTGGGTTAGATACTCCATCTCTAGTGTGTGGCCCTTGAGGGTTCAGACTGTCCTAGGACTCTAGCTGGAATCTGCTTCTACTGCCCACTAATGCTCTCAGACCCTAAAGAGCCCCTGATTCCCCAGGCAGGGCACAAAAGTGGTTTTTAAAACTTTACTGTGGGGGTAAGAGAAATGGCTCAAAGGTTTAGTTCCCAGAACTTACATGGTGGCTCACAACCACCTATAACTCCAGTTCTGAGTGATCTAAAGCCCTCTTGCACATACATACATACATACATACATACACACACACACACACACACATACACACACCAGGCAAAAACTCACCCATAAAATGAAAAACCCCAATTTAAGTTTTTTTTTTTTTTTATTTTGAAGGGGATTGGGGGAACTAACCCCAAACCAGCTGGGGCAGAGAAGAGTTGGACCCCAACAGTGGAACAACAGGAGAGGAAACAGGAATCCCCACAGATGCTCCACCCCAGCCCCTCTGACAGAAACCTTAAATAATTTAAATAGAAGTAAAGGTGGGCACCCACTAGGGTTCTCCAGTGTCTGCAGGGAGTGTATGTGTGAGCCATGGCCAGGGCAGCTTGGCAAGCTCAGGCCCGGCTTTGGGACTGCTGCAGGGCAGTGAGGTATTTCAGGGCTGCAGCCCCATAGCGCCGTGACAAGTCCTGGTGAAACTCCTCCTTGAGAGTCTGGAGACAGTGGCGATAGGTAGGGCTGGAGCGGAAGCGGGAAATGTCCAGACTTGGAGCATGGGGCAAGTGGATGGAGAAGGCCTCAGGCAGCACCAGGAGTTCATATTCCTGTAAGAATGAGGGCAGGAATGAACTAGGGAGAAGCAAGTGAGGGCTGAAATGCAAGCTTGTGCCATGGCCCAACAGGAACAGGCAGGTCACAGCCAGGGTAACAAGGTACCCTCCTCACCTGAGCATCCAGCTCTATGATGTGGGCCACCTTGTTCCAACCAAAACCCACAAAGCGAGGATCATAGCGGGGACAGTCACGGGGCACTACCACATAGGGCTCATAGTCAGCTGCCCATTGCACATGGTATGGCGCCTTGGCCTCCCGCCAGCGGGCATAGTCTGTGGGTGCATGACCCTGTGGCCACTCATGGTACCTGGGGAACAGGAGCAGGGCTGAGGCTAGGAGTTTGTGATCTGGGAGGGGGGGCAACATAACAGTGGGGCTGAATATGGTCTCTCTTACCTAAAGGTGTAGAGGGAGCCTGCATCCAGTAAGGTCAACAGCTCTGCCTTGGAGTTAGGGAAGCTTAAGCGATAGTGCAAGGTCTCGAATGCAGGCACCACCAAAGCAGCCTTCCGCTGACTGCCCAGCTCCAGCTGCTCTATAGAGGCCCTGGGGAGGGGTGGGCATGTGGGAAGAAGGAACACTCCACCCATAGGTCTCATCCCTGCTGAGCCACAGACCCCTGCCTTCCAGGTGCTCAACTCTGCTGTTTGAGATAGCCTTGCTGTTTGAAGTAAGGCATCGCTTCCCTGACTCAATGGTGGCCCAGAGAAAAGGCCTAAGATAAACCCTGTTGCAGAAGCCATTGAGCCCCAGAAAGACACAGAGACACAGCAACCTGGGGGTCCCAAGGTACCCTGACCCTGACAGTGCATACCCCAAATGCTGCCCCTCTCCTACCCTCCAGGCCCACCTGAGGTAGTCGTAGAGGGAGTAGGCAGGTAAGAAGTCAATGTCACTGAGGAAGACATAGGGCGTGAGAGCCTGGGCCAAAGCCACGTTGCGGAGCTGGTTGACTGGATAGAGGGGACCCTCCCGGTACACTATATGGTAGGCTACATCCTTCCTCGCAGAGAGCACTGGTGAAGTTTCCACGAAATGCAGGAACTGCTGAGCCTCTGCATCTGTCAGGTACAAGGCCAGGCTCATGGGGCCTGGCCAGTGCCTGCACAGGGCTTCCAGCATCTGCAGCCTGGGGTGAGGTGGGTGGTCAGCCCTGCTCGGGCCCCTCATGCACAGAAGCCCAGGAATCCTCCCCAAAGTTAGCTGCTGCAGAGCCCCTCCTGTGACTAAGCACCTTACAATCACAGAGAGCTGGTCTCTTAATCCTTACATTCACATTTGGCAGCCCAGCAAACTAAAGTCTAAGATGCTGAGGCTCCCTAGGGGCAGTTTTGGGCATCAGAAAGACTTCCAAAGCTCAAGCTTTTTCCATCATATCCAATGTCTCCAACTTCTGGGACTCTTCCAGGGACCAGCAGCTCACTACCATACCATGATGAGGCTACCAGATAAAATAGTTCTCTCAAATCCCATCTCAGCCTATGCCATGCTACCTGGGGCTGCCCTCCAAAACCTCACCGGTCCATAGAGAGCTGGGCCACCAAGGTGACATCGTGAGGCCGGGGAGGTGGTGGCTGGTGGGGGAGGAAGGTGATATGCACACGATGCACACTGAGCTGCTGTTGCCGGAACTCAAAGCAGGGCTCTTCCTCATCTAGCTGTGCCAGGGCCTGTTGCAACTGAGCGGGGTCCAGGGAAAGAAAGAAGGGGTCTGGCCCAGGACAACGTGCCCTCCAGTCAAGGCCCACCTGAGTACAGAGGGGCAAGACCTCCCAAAGGCAAGGTAACACGGCCCCTCTCACCTGCTCAGCCCCAGGAGGGAGCTGGTTGGGGCATCCAAAGAGCTCTCTCCGCAGCAGTTTCCCATCATACCCCAGGAAGGTCAAGTGCAGGTTTCGGAAGAATTCTGCATGCTTGTTCTTCACTCGAAGCTTCTTTGGTGAGTTCCAGTGGATCACCTGAGCTCCAGGAGGTGTTGGCAGGGATTTAGAACAGGGAGGAGCAACAGTCCCCCATCCTGCAGACTCCACTCACCTTGAGGTCAGCTGCTTCCAAGTAGCAGCGCTCAGCCAGTGTGTGGTCAGACAGCTGCACATTCCAGACACAGGGTAGGGGATGCACCAGCTCGGGATGCTCCTTGATGACAGCATTGAAAACGTCCTAGGCAGTGACAGACATCACATCTCAGCCCCCAGCCTGCCCCTCAGTTCTGCTCCCACAAAGATTCCTCCAGACCTGGTCAGCCAGAGATGTGGCCATCAGAGTAAGGAGCTCCTGTTTGGCTATTAGCTTCCACATCTGCTCCCAGCCAGTTTGCCGGAGCCTGTCCAGCCACAGTAGGATCACACCTGCCAACAAGGAGAGAGGTTGCCATGCCTACCAAGGACATCCAGATCCCGAATCCTTTGAAATGTTTGGTTTTGTTTTGTTTTGTTTTGTTTTTTTGTTTTTTTTTGCAGTGCTGGGGAAAGCCCAAACCCTCATACATCCAAGACAATCTCTCTACCACTAACTACATCCCCAGACCCCTTTTAAATCTTATTTTGAGGAATTGAAGAGATGGAGCCATGTTTAAGAGTACTTGTTGCTCTTGCAGAGGATTCAGATTCAATTACCAGAAACCATATGGTGACAACCCTCATAACTTCAGTTTCAGGGGATTCAACACCCTCTTCTGAACTCCATTGGTACCAGGCATGCATGTGGTGAACACACATACATGCAGACAAAACTTTCATACACATAAAATAAATCTTCAAAAACTTGAAATAGGGTCTCACTAAGCTTCTCAGGCCGGCCTCACACTTGCAATCTTCCTGCCTCAGCCTCCCAAGAAACTGGTATTACCAGCAACAATAGGCAACACCACACCAGGCTGCAAGGTGTTAATTGGTATAGTCAGTTGTGTGTCATCTAATGGAGCTTTGATCAACAATATAAAGCATACACTATAGTGGTACATACTTATATGAAATAAAAACAACAGGCAATACCACACCAGGCTACAAGGTGTTAACTGGTACAGGAGCTTTGGTCAGCAACATAAAGCATATACTAAGGATGGTACATGATTATATATATATATATATATATATATATATATATATATACATTATCACCACCTCAGGCAGGGTATGTGGCTCAATTGGAATCCTTGTCTATCATGCATAAAGCCCTGACTTAACACCCCAGTATGGCATAAACCAAGGAGACCACGTAGTACATATCTGCAATCCCAGCACCAGGGAAGTAGAGGCAGGATAATAAGAAGTTCAAGGTCATCCTCGGGTATATAATGAGTCAAAGCCAGACTGGGTTACATGAATCCTTGCCAAACCAACCAACCTACAACCTCTTATTTTTCCTATGCTTTTTCCATTTTCAGTTATACAAATACTTGCCATTGTTTTACAGTTGCCCATCTGTCAGGAAGCATGTTCAGTGACATGCCTGTTGTTCCCAGACCATACCACAACCTAGAGAAGAGTAGGCTACTCTCTCTGAGTGTGTAAATATACCCACTGGTGTTTGTATGGCAATGAAACTGCCTAATGGTAAATCTCTCAGAATGTATCCAAATTGCTAACACAGGACTGTATTTTCTGAGGGTTCAGACATAATCACCCATAATTCCCTTGGGTAGAGGGGAGGAGAAGAGCCCTTCCAAGCTCTTCTCTTACAGTTGGCAATGGCAGGACTATCTTAACTGTTTCTATGATGTGGATGAGAAAACAGTCTTAAAGGAAACAATGAGTTGGCCACAGCCATTTGGTACAAACATGCATGAGGGACAGTTCTCTTTATCCAGTGTCCCTTCCATAGCCCTGACAGTTCTTCCTGGGGGCTTCCTAGCATTCTGTATCCATCCCACCACTGAGACCCCGAAGCCCACCCTATCCTGCCTCCCTCACCACTGTCCCCACCTGTGTTAAATCCTCTGCCCAAGGCAGGCCAGGGCCTATGGTTCTTCCAGAGGTTGCCCAGGTACCAGTCGCTCTGGTTCTCCACGAGACCCACCACCTGCTTGTCTGGGAGGGGAGGGCAGGAGGGAGCTGCCTGGGGATGTGGGCTAGGAAAT